AAAAAAAAAAAAAAAAAAAAAAAAAAAAAAAAAAATATCAGTCATTTTGTAACAAGCTCAGTATTTAGCATGGATTATAGTTTTGAGTTTGTGTTAATTTTGATATTCAGTAGTTAGAACAACAGACACTTGTTATTTACTTGTGAATGTATTTTTTCCAGATGATCCTGAGTTGTGGAACCAAACCATTGATATGGAAGGTATTGATTTAGCTATGATTGAGAATGGTTACCAGGACAACAGTGGTCATGGCAACCACAGCATGACAACCAGAAGCAAGAGGGTGGAGCCAAGTGTCAGTAAACAGCCAATCGGTGCACTTGGGCAGCAAGGAGCTAACCAAGGTACAAGTTTCACATATGACCAGGGCCTTGTTAATCTGTGAACATGCTTCTGTTTTATTTCTTCAGTGTGTTATTAAAGATAATTTTTTCTTCTAAAAATCTTAATCATCTGTTGAAAACTCCACATGGTTGACTCATCCAATTTTTTCAGCTTCACTAAGAAATGCATGGGACTGTTTGGTCATGTCTTTTTATGAGAAAAAAAATATTATTTTATTGTTTTTATTGATTCAGCCAGAATGTTTATATCCTGTCATTTAATGAAAAAATAACAGATTGTTTAAATTATTCATTTTCATTATTAATTTTGTATGAAAGTTTATGAACTTAGGTCAACAATTTGATGACTGTATCTAACAATTCACAATTTTTTTATGTCTACTGCCTAGTATTGTGCAGGGGCAGTGTTGACTATGTTTGTAAACAACTTTTTGCTACAGGTCTCCTTAACACAAGAAAGGAAGGCCCCCTCTAAGCTTCATAAATTTTGAGCTCAAGTCTACCTTTCAAATTCAGCTGAAGTTAGCAAATAACATTACAACATTCATTGTGGTAATGACTCATTCTTTTCAATGGGCAAAAACTGTCTGTTACAATTCTATAATCACAAAAATATATTTCTGTATTGCATTTGTGGTGCTTTTTCTACATAGAATAGAACTATAGAGTAGTGTATTCTTTAAATTTGGTGCTATCACTCAGCAGAAATGTTCTAATTTGAAGAACTTATGACTTAAAAATACAGTGTCTGTAAAATTCCCCCATTGAAAAGATCAAGTAATTACCATATTTGTTGATGGCTTCGGAAACAGTCACCTGGCTTCACCCAGTGAGACTAATAGCACATTGTGTTAAATTAAAGCACATTAAATATTACATGCACACCAGCGGACTTGTGAATATCACTAATTGGAATTTTAATTAGCACAGGTAGTTTTGTTGGTTTTGCAATTAGAATATTTGTTCTTTGACATGATGCCCAATTCCAGTCATTTTTATCCTAATATGTATCACTTAATTACTGCTGTAATGTCTTGGACTGGAAACAAGATGGCTTCCACACTGTACTGATATTTGTTATTACAAGCCTGGGAACGTAAAAAAGTCCAATTTTGAAGTGGTACCAACTTTTTTTGTGTACCAGCAAACATTGATGTTAAACTTGGATCCCACTTTTATCTTCTGCTGACTATTTGATGACACTTGCAGTGAGACATTTTATATAAAAACTCATTGATTTTAAACTTCATTTTTATAGGCCCAGCTTTTGTGAAACGAAGAAAGATGGAGCCACCATAGAAGGGTGTCTTTACTGAAAAACAAAAAATATCAAAAAAGTGAGCAAACAGTCATGGCAAAGGAAGTGAGACCCCTTTAAAGCTTCATAAATTACATGGAATGATTAAGTTGTTGAGACCAGACAATTTTAGAACTAAGAAAAAAAAAGAAAATATTCAATCAAAACCAGCACCATGTGGGACGAGAAGTTGTGTTTTTGCCAAGTTTTAAGTGGTTTCTGGTTTTTATTTTCTTGGAGGAATCTAGCAATTGCACTTCTTGTGGAAGTAAGGAATTTGCAGGACAACTTCATAACATATTGCTCTGTCCTTTGCATTTGTCAGACATTTTCTGTACATTTAAAAATCTTGACATCCACCTTTTTATATTAAATACATCAGGTCAGCAGGCTTCAGAATATTTTGGTTTTTAACCAAGCATGGCGAACTTTAAATTAAGCAAACTAATTATAACAATTTTATGAGTTTGTACAATTTTTTAATTGCAACACTAATTTTCATTATTCTTCATAAGAATTTCCTCTTATAATGACAAATTGAATTTTAAAATGGTCATTAAATACATACTAAATCTTACATTTATTATTTGTAAATACTTGCATTTATTATTTGTAAATACTTGACCTTAATAATTAGTACTTTATTTATATTTATTATTATTCATGGTGATACAGTTTGTAAAATATTATTTAATATTTTATTTATATTATATTTATATTATTAGAACCATGTTTTTATAAAATAATACTATTTGTGATGTGTGGGAATTTTCTCGGGTGTCATGGTTCCAATAAAACCTGTTATTGAACTATTTCACCGTTTTCCTTCTCTTTTTTTTTTTTTTTTTTTTTTTTGTGTGTGTGTGTGTGTGTGTGATGCAGCCAAAGCAGGGGTCATTATCACATTTCTGATGTCTGGAAAACAAGCTAGTTATCACCAAAGGCTTCACTAAATTCCTTGGAATCTTGGAAACGGCTCACTGATCTTATACTGTGTCAAAAGTACATTAATGTGACTAAATGGAAATAGTGTTGAAACATTTGAATTTAACTTTTGACCAAGCATTTATTTTATCACTGCTATATTCAGAGGTATTGTATTTTGGCATAAGTGTTACAAGTAGCGTAGGGTTTTGTTTTTTTCACCCGTAATATATTTTATGAACACATCATTTTTAGAAAATATTTAATTTTTTATTCAGTTTTATTTTTCTGGACCAAATAAAAATTAACCAAACATCAAAAGAGAAGGAAGACCTAACTTTTATTTTGCATGTAAATTTCTTGTTGCCTAAACTTGTATTTTTTGGACTATTTTTCATTTATTTAACCTAATTGAAATAAATAATTACATATATTTTGATAACGCAACCAACCGTGGATTAATGGCCCATCAACCCATCAGAAGAATAACCATTACGATATTTTCATCAGTTGGAAAAATACTCAGTGGCAACTGCACATATACAAACAAGACAAACATGAGTCTGCATAACAAAAAGAAATAAGACCACAAGCATTTGGGACACTCTTTTCTGAACACTGATTGTTTTTATTCTGTTAGATTAAAATGATGATTACATTGTGTGGTATGAAAACACTACAGTTATTATAATTCGATATTGCAATATAACTGTCTTACAGGTTTTTTTACTCCCTTTCACAAGGTCACCTCTTGCTGTTAAGATGTTGTTAACTCGGGCCATGTCAAATGCAGAGGTTCCACTTAGGAGACTTGCCTATAGTAACAGCCAGATTATCAACTTGTCAATCTCTCAAAGTGTACCGGTACAAACTGAATCAGTAAAGAATATATTACCAGTACAGACTTTATCACTGAAAATTATGACCAGCACACACTATAGCACTAAAGAATATCACCAGTACAGACTATATCAATAAAGAATTTCACTGGTGCAGATTATATCACTAAAAATATCACTGGTACAGACTGTATCACTAAAAAACATTGCTGGTACAGACTGTATCACTAAAAAACATCACCTGTACAGACTATATCACAAAATATTGCTAGATATGACAAGGGTCCAAGCACTTGTTGCTATGTGAACTTCAAACATTTTCCAGACCTGCAACTTATTTTTGAAATATTAGTGTTAACCTTTAAAGTAGGAATCCTGAAGTGCTTACTTGAAACCTCATCAGTCTGTTTCCTGTAGTTAGTTCTGTATCAGGTCACCAGATACAGCCTATAATTCACCCTTAAAATAGTTAGGTATTCAAAAACATTGATACCCAGCCCTGTGAAAAACACAATTTCACAGACCACTTACGGGAATAGCAAAGGAAATGGTTTTTCAATAACCAGCTACTTGTATTTTTTGTTGCGCAACTTATGTTTTCCTGTTACCATTCATTTTCATGAAAAGGAATTTTCACTCTTGTGTAGGAGAAGGATATGGTGGCTGTGAATTTTTTTGTCCTTTAATTTGGGTGGCATTAATATCACACAGTTAAGTTTCGAGTTCTGGCAAGAGTCAAAATTATCAAAGTTGCATTTTTCTGTGATAAAATGGGGTGATTTCATGGCTGATTGGCATTTTGGCAACAGCTGCTGAGTGAGGAGCGGATTTTTAAAAAATACCATCTAAAAATAGTTGAAATGAATTTTGATGTCAAGTACTGGCAAACTGATTCTGTGCTTTTTTGGTGGTCAAAAGCCTCATTGTTTTTAAAAAATGGGTTTTGCAGATAAACGAGTTAAAACCAAGACCTTGTGTCATTGTAAAATATTTTCTATTTTCTGTATGGAAAAGAACTACAGGGTTGCCTGCTTTTCTATTTTGTTGCTTCCACTCAATTGGAATGTCCCAGTTTTAAGAATTTATGACTTGTAAAAAGTCAATATAATATTAAAAATTCATAGCTTTCCCCACTGAAAAGACTGAGTCATCACCATAGATATTTGTATAATGCAAACAGTTGCTTTAATTCCACCTGTAATTTCCCATGATGCTATCAGTAAAATGTAACACCTATTCCAAAATTACGTGATCTATTAAATATACACATTTATATTTTACTCCAAGGGGTTATGTGGAATTTCAATATTTAATATGGCCATTGAAAGATACATATTTACATCTTGCTGTACAGGCTGATGACACTGAATGAAAGACCCATACAGGCTTCATTGCTCTATGGAAACCAGTTTTCTTTTGTTTTATGTTTTCATCCCAGGGCTTCATTTTGGTTGAGTCCAACTGATATGTGTTCATATGTTGGTGTCAACCCAGCCTGTTATTTTCTTGTTCATACCTGTTGGAGTGGGCGTCACACTTGTGACACACCTGATAGAAAGATTTTATTTTTAAGCAGAGAATGATATTTTATGCTTGAAAAATGCTTGAAAATGTTTTAGTGTGATTTTAGTAGCACAGTTGAAAATCCTATAAAGATCTGTTATGTAATAGTGTGGTAAGGAAAAGTAAAACAAACAGTGGTGATGTTCATGCAGTTTTGTGTTAATGTAAATTCAGATAACAACTTTTTTAAGTCCAAAATCAGACCTGGTTCCAATGTCATTTGACGGTTACAATATATTACTGTGTATATTATGTACTGGGCTGAATTTTTCAATATTTCGGAATATTTGCCAGTTCAAATTATTTTTGGTAAAAAAAAATTGGTCTGGACTGACTCTTGTACTAGTAAGAAATTAGCCATTTTACAACCGACTTGATTTTATTTTATTCACAAAGTATGTGAGTATTTTTAAAAATTAATTTTGTGTTAAATCCTTAATAAAAAAAAAAATTGTGACAATATAGCCGATGTACATATGCTTTAACTCTTCTAGCCTGAGGCAGCTACTCTTCCCCCTAACAGTGTGAGTCTCATTTCCAGTTTAAAATTGCCTTTGTCTGAACAGCCCTCAAGTTAAGAGAAGATAATCAGCTTGAAACAACAAGTACTTGTACTTGGGAGTAGCTGAACCCCTAATCTCTGATCCAGCGTAACCCGAACCCTGCTGGTGGACCAGCCTCACATGGGACATAAATCAAAGCTGTTTGCAAGAACACACACTTGTTAGGTTAGCTGCTGCTGCTGCTGGGACCACTGCACTATCTTCCAGCAGTGGGGATTGAATCTTCCACCTGCAGGGGCTAGTGACCAGAATTACTGGACATTGGAAAGTCACAGAGGCTGACCAAGTGATCAAGTGTACCAGAAACTTTTCTCTTGAGCAGGCTGGAATTTTAAACAACAGAGATTGAACAAAGTTGTACTCATTGTGTGGGGAACATTGGCCTGGTTTCCAGAAACTGTGCTCATTTGACAGAAGATACTTTGTGGCAGTAGGGTGAAAAGCTGTGCTTTGTCTCCTAACACAAGGGGAGGTTTGCACTAAGTGGAGCAGGAAAACTTGTGTCTAGTTGCAGCTTGATTTGACATAGAAGTGTTTGAAGTAAAACATCTACATTGCCTCCATGGAGAAAGTATTGGCCTTGGTTCTGCTGTTGGCCTTTGGTTCACACTTTGTCTCACCACAAATATCAGAGGCAGGTCAGTAGAATGTGCTTAATGTGCGATAAATTTGATTTGTATCATTCTTGTAAAGTGTTATATTTCAGGTAATAGGTGGTCAAATATAATGCAGACTTTTACCCATAAGAAAGGACATACATAAATTTCATAGTCAAGAATACCACTTCAAAGTTTTATAATTATATTATATTCAATTTATTGAACACTAAATGCATAATATATATCGCTGTGGGATTTTTTATGTAATTTTATCAATATTGTGATGTTTTTGTATGTATTTTGTTCTCTTCTTTTGTCTGTTTATACTTGTGCATCCTATCAGTTACCAACCTCCATGGAAACAATATACAGCACTCTGTGGTAAAATCAATTAATCAATTTCTCCTGTTAAATTTGTTTCATATTTTGTGTGAGTCATATTTAAATGCTCTGACCACATTGGCTTGGCATAAATGGCAAAATTCAGTACACCCCCGTCAAGACACAGGATGTGGTGTTGACACTGATTGAAATAACAACCACCGCTTCTCTGTTAAATCAAAATCTGATGTGGGTTTAATCTCTTATCTGGAAGGGATTTGTGATGCTGTCTTCCTTCCTTACAGTTTACAAAGTTAGGTAAAATAAAAAGAGGATATGCTATGTACTTATAGGCCAGTTTCTAGACAAGATAAGGCTTGTCTTACTTTGTACTGCCCATCTCTACAAGTTATCTGATTGATTATAATTGGTTGACCATAGGAAGCCAATATCAATGCAAAAATAAGTCCCTTTTTACCAGTTCGGTTTCACAAAAAATCAAAAGTGATGTTTCACTTTTTTTGCGGTCATTAGTATAAACCCCTAGACCACATTCTCTTGTTCCTGACATTTTTATTGCTAAAATTTGTAATTATAAACCCTTTTTTAGCATGTTAGTTAATACCATGCATATTTTGTGGGTCAAATATTTTTGAAACATTCTCAGACCAACTTGTCAAAGAGGCAAGAATGTTCAGTCTACTTCAGCAGTGTAAGCCAAAATTTGTTGTTTTTTCTTTGAGGGGGAGGGGATATTTAGGACTACAGTGCAAGTGGTGTCCCATTTACAAGCTACAGAGGAGGGTGTAAGGCAGTCATAAGGTTTACATAAAAAATCACAAAAATTCAGTTTTTTTATTCTGCTATCTTTCCAAATTATGCACCCTATTAGTGAAAATTTTCCTTATTAGAAAGTTTCAAAGTACTGTAATATTTCACATGACATGCATTTTCAGTATGGAAAAAACTAATTTAAGAATTGAACCTGACGTCCACTTTGTTTGACATGTCACATCAAAGCCAGGTTCATTGGGTTAAAAGGTCTGATCAAAATCCATTGGTACATGTTTCAGCTAGATTCTAAGCTCAAATTATATTGAGAAGATTTTTTGTTCAGCAGAGTCATAGAGAGAAGGAAAAGGGGCTACTTTATCTAAATAGGCAAGTGGTACTAGAAGGGTAAATGGAGAAATTTATAATGTCATATTCCCTTAAACTTTTATCAAAGTTGCTATTATTAGTATTATTATTAATATTATTTTAATGAAAATAATCAAATGAAGCTACCTCCATACTGGTGCTCTTTTCTTTGCCACATGATATCATAAAGCCATCTACACAACAGAAAACAGCTACAGTGACATAATTATTTAGAAATTGAAATGTCTTGTGACAAATAACATGTTCTCATGTACACACTCCATGTACATTCACAGATAAATGTTAACAGTCATCTTGATATTTGTATTCAAAGCAGCAGAGGCAAGTTTTCAATGTTAGTAAGGGTGCTTTCCCAGAGATTTGGATCGATCTAAAGATTAAGTTTTAGATCGACCTAACTCCCTGGGGGTTCACGCTAAATTGCAGTCAGCCGAGCGGGCACCATAGTTAATTACCCCCTTACAGCTTTTAGTAGGCGGGACAGACGCTTAAGCCGGCCAAGCTGACAGTAATCTAGTGAGACTGCCCACGGGGATAGATCGATCTAAAAATCTATGGAAATGGGGTGTAAGAGAAAGCAATATAGAAACTTTTTGGAGCGAACCCGCATATTGCCCCTCTGAAACATGCATGTGGCATTGAAATTATTTAATTATTTGATCAGAAATGGGTGCAGTTTTAAAATAATTTTTTTTTTTTTTTTTTTTGAAAGTAAAAGTCTGTGAAAGTAAAGTCCTAGTATGTATAGCTGTGTTTGCTGAAGCAATGCTTAAATCCACCAGTGGTCAGCTGGCACCTTAAACTTGTATTCAAAATCAGCTTTATTGATTCAAGATGAAGAAAACAGGTGTCACAAGCAAGTTGGGAATTGAGTGGCCAGGAACCGAACAATAGAATCATTGGATAATTACTAGTTTCCTGTCGCGTAATAACCTTTTAATTCCAGGGTGTTTCTTTTTATCTGGTTACATTTTGTTTTCTGGAATCCATAAAGGCACAGTAAAGATTTGGGTCATGATTTCAAGGCATGTTTGACAGAAATTGCACGACACCTGAAAATATCTATTTCCTCTGTCATCTAAAGCATAAAGTTTTGAATTTTCAAACTGTGTTTTGTAAAAGATATATGTTGGAAATTTTCAGAGACTTGTGCAAAGCTGATATAAAACAGAGAATTGTAAATCTGAGAATAAATATGTTTTTATTGCAAAATTGATAAGGATAAGCTCTGGACATGGATATTTGTTGAAGAGCTCCTCTAAGCATTTGTTCCTGGATAAACAAGATATTACCAAAGATAAAATTCCTAAGTAAGAGAATTGTTAGGGTTCTCCATGAGGGGCAATAAAATCCCTGGGACTGTTCTTGATTGACCAAACTAAGTAGACATTGAGAGTAACATGTAATGCAACAAATTTATTTGCTCAAATTCTACCCATTTTTAACAATTTTGCACTTTACAGAAAAAAGGAGTCAACTGCGTGATGTTAATTGTTTGTTGTGACTCATAAGATAAACATTTACTGATTTAGTTTTCAAGGGCATTGATGCAAATATAGTCTTAAGCCGTAGGGAAATTTTTTAAATGTTAGATTTCTGAAAATGCACTTAAGTTCAGTTAAGAGAGGAGTTTTCATTTTACATAAAACTTCTTAAATATAAATACATTGCATTTTAGCATTAAGAATTTACCATAGACCTACAGAATCACAAATATTTTGTTCTTGGCATAATTTTTTTTTTTCAACAATGTTATAAAACATTTGCCATGTGTTTCAGATGACCAGATGCTGAATTTGCTGGAGAGATGTTGTGACCTGGGAAAATACTGGCAGGGTCGAGGTCTCTGCGACAACTACCCCAAGCCAATAGGCGGTGTTCCAATTGCCAACGAGACTGTCTGCATGGGGTCCATAAGACTGTGCTGTGTTCAGAAGCAACAACAAATTGTTCAGTGTTCAGCAGGACGGCAGGTTGCCCAGCGGACCAATGAGTGTGCAGAAATAGGGAATGGAGAAAGCAATGAAAAAAAGGTAACTTTTGGTGAATGTGTGTGTCAGAGTAAAATTGTGTAATTTGAAAATTTAGAAAAAAAATAGATTTTTTGGTTTTCATTTTTTTATTACTAATATTTAGTGAAATACTTTTGTGGTTCATGCTGAATAGGTGGATTTTTTGGATTCAGTCTTTTTATCTTTCCCTTTTTTTAAGTCAGCAGAAAAGTTTTGTGTTATCACACTTTTATTTGACATTAATATTGGATATGTAGCTTATTGGACAGTTTCACAAATTTGAAATATTCTAAAATAATACCCCTTCATTTGGACACTAAGGAGGAGTACCAAAGGTTTTCAGTCTTAAAAGTAAGACCAACTTTTGACTTGAATTGGTAGTAAAAGTGGCACCTGGGTGTTAATTGAATGTGACAGAAAACTGCACTCCACTGACACTGACATAACTTAACTTAAATATTTTAACTGTTGTGGGTCAAACTGCAGACACGACATGTCAAATGTATCCATTTATCACTGCAGCATAGTATGGAAATTTTGGTGCATGTCAATAAATTTTTTAACCAATTTGCCTGTTACCAATACATTACATAAGGGGACCATTAAGACTGAGTACTATTGAATCCAAGTTCTGATAGATTAAAAACAAATATTGGTAAATGGGTACAATTCTCAGCAGATAACTATGAATCAAATCTGGATAGATTTGAAGCGGTTTTCATGATCTTCAGAAAAACAGTCTGATTTTTCTGAAAAATCATTTTTATGTCAAATATGGGAGGCTTAAATATTGAATTGATCTCAATTGGAGTGTCAACCTGCTGGAAGTCTCAATCTAGACCTACCCATGTAAATAATAAAATATTCTTTCACAGGATTGTTGTAACTGCTGTAAGCTGGGCCTCCTGGCACACAACATTGGCGCCCGCTGTGACACAACCAGCTTTGATACCATGTGCGACGTTTCATTCAGGGAATGCTGTCAAACTGGAAAAGGCACGGGAAGTGGGGTTGGCTCGGTCACAGACACCACAAGGCGTAACAATGGTGCTGAAAACACCAACCCAGGTAAATATTAGTTACTATTATTTAGCACTGATCCTATCATCAAGCTTACATGATCCATATATATGAAGCATTGTATCTCTGGCAGATCTAGGGTTTTTGTTTCATTGTCAGGAGGGGGGGGGGGGGGAGGGGGAGAAGAAAAAAAAGTAATAAAAATCTTGCTAAAATATGTATGGCACTGGGAGTATTGAACTGCTGAATTTTGTTTCATTTCACTTTTTATGCTGTTGGGTCCCAAGCCCTTCAGTACTACTGATATATTTTCTTAATGTACGAATAATAATCAAAGTTGACAGCAATAATGATAATACTTCTGAGCATTCTGCCCCACTAAATCATAATTGATATTTTGTGCACTCCATCTATAAACTGGTTGTTCATAATCTTAAAACTGTATTAATGTCACTACTTGTATCACTTGTCATTTATATTTTTGTACATTTTTTGGTGGAGGGGGGGGGAGATAAAAAAAGATACCTCAACAATTAAGAAATGAAAAATGTAACAATAACATATAGGTGGTATGAGAATTGAGTTGTCATCTATCTTCAACAGACTGCTTCAGGGAATTGTATTTTAGGGTATAGTACTAGTATATGAGATTTAATTTTCCATTCCTTAACCTGCTTATACAAATAATTCAAAATATTTCTTCTGATACCTCTGAGCTAATGGGGGGAGGGGGGGGGGGACTTGCCTGCTGTGATTCTCCCCATCCCCCACCAACCCCCACCCATTTACAGGTACTTCAATTTCAACCTCTGGATCTGCCATTGGTAACTATATAAAACACACTGTATTTTTTTTCTTAATAATTTACTGGTTTTATCTATTTATCAGGATTTGAACAGCTTCATTGAGTGTGTCTGTGCATAATTTGAATTCACATCCTTGTTCATGTGCCCCATTTATGACTTACAGAGAATAATTTCACTGCTTTTTTGGTTAAATCAAGACCATATGCTTACTTTTTTGTTCTTTTATCACTTGCTTGGCTAAGCATGCATATTCTGGTATGAAAAAAACACTTTTCAGTTTTGATGATACCTATGACTCCATTAGAAGAAGGCTATTTCACTGCTTCACATTTTATTTTTGCTTTGTCCTATTCTCAACAGTGATAAAGGGACACTGTGAACTATACCCAAATCGCTTATGCGCACACATATGCATAAGCACACAAGGCAGCTTCCGTTGCGAGTGTCGTGAAGGGTTTGAGCTTGCAGCAGATAGGCGAAACTGCAGACCAGCAAGTAAGCATTTCATATGATATGTGGGCTAGCACTCTTTGTGTATAAATTAATTATTGTTTCCTGGAATAGCCCTACATGTTCATATGATTGTGCCCCTCTGTTAAAGGGGCTGTGTGTTTGAAATTTACTTGTCTGTTTGTCTGTCCATTGTCTATCTGTTTCTCTGTCTGTGTCTTTCCATCAGTTAATCTGTCTGTCTGTTTGTCAGTCTGGCTTTCTGTATCTTTCCATTAGTCAATATACTGTCTGTCCATTTGTCTTTGTCTGTCTATATGTCAGTCCGTCTGTTTGTCTGTTTTTCATTAGTTTGAACATCTGTCTGTATGTCAGTGTATTATTTCTTCTTACCATACAATACAATGCTGTTAATAGGACTTTTTTTACTTTTGAAATCTAAGGACCTCATACTTGTGAATTATATGCAATTAATTTACTGGAAATTGTAAGGTTTGTATCCCTTGAGTAGTAGCACATCAATCTTCAATCATCCTCAGCCATTGATCCATTGATTCGGAGACAGCTTTTGCCGGTCAAAGGGGTGGTCCTTTTGAACCCCCCTCCTCACCAAAAAAAAAAAAAAAAAATTTTGTTGGTCTTAAATTTTCAGAGAAACATTTTGTTCAAAATATCTTAGAAAGGGGAAACAGTACATTTTTTTACTGTATACCTGTCTGGTTTTATTAAGTACACCCATGTATTTTACTCTGTTATTTTCTCTCTACACTGTCTTAATATCTGCCTTTTAGCACCATATCCAATCTCTTCTTGTAATATTTTAGGAGCATCATCAAACATTGCCAACAATAACAACAACAACAACAACAATAACAACGGTAACCTTCAACCCACAAACAACTGTCAGATTAACAACCCCTGTGAGCATCGCTGTGTGGACACTGGACAGGCTGTGCGATGTGAATGTTACAATGGCTATGAGCTGGCGAGAGATGAGATATCCTGCACAGGTAAGTTTGATGATGGTGGTGATCTGTGTAATATATTTATCCTGTTGGGGCTACATGTTCTTGTAGACAAAATTATAAATTACACCATCTGTGGACAGGGTTTGTAGAAAACAAGGATTAACCACAGTATATTTAATTGAATGACTAGTAATTATTATTAATGTGAGTGCATTTGTAATAACTTGAAAGGTACAGATTTTCAATTCACATAACGCCATGTAATTTTTTTGTTTCAAAATTGCAAATGCATTTGGAATAAAAAAACTTTTTTCAGAAGATGCTTTACCCACTGTCACTTGCTTTAAAACTCACAGTTTTTAATTTTGCAAAAGTCCTGTTCTCAACAAGTTTGAATTATCAATTTTAGGCCTCACTTTAAGAGGCAGACCAGACCCTGATTGCAATTCCTTCCGAAAACACACCCATGCTTTATTCTGCTGACCACAGTGAAATTGCAAAAAGGGGGAAGTGCAATCAAGGTGTCTGCAACACTGTACCCACCCGAGTTTCAGAGGACATTTGTAACTTACCTCTTTTTTATCAGCATCCCTCTGCCCTTTCCAGTATCTCCTAATGGGGTACTAAATGAGTGTCTGATACTGATACCAGATTATCTGATACATGCTTATAGTAGAGAGTGGAGTTTCCAGTGTTCTCTGAGTCTCAGAAGTAAGGCCTAAAACTGTTGTAGTGAAAACTGATGAGAAGAGGACTTCAAATTTCCCGCTTATATATCACCTTATTGACATGGAAAACTATAATTGTTCACTTTGTTGTACCTAAAATTGCTTCAACTTAAAAAACACTTACTTTTCTCAAAATATTACATTTCAGTTTGTTAATTTTGTTCTGTTACTAATGCACTCTGATTTTCATTTGTTCAGTTTTAACTTTTTCAAACTCAAATAACAGAATGATAAATATGAATTTGCCATCAGGCTGATGAATTTGTACATGTTATCAGTAAAATATGTATATTTGTATGAGATGTTTGAAAAAGCTGCACCCATTTCCACATTAACAAAGTCCTCTCTCACACCTCCCTGCTTAGATATTAATGAATGCCGGCGTTACAACCCCTGTGCTCAAGGACAGGAGTGTCAGAACTCACTGGGGAGTTACCGCTGTATTGGCCTCAGTGGAAACATACCGCTGGTTCCCTCCACGGAGTGCACCCTGGGTTATCAGTATAACCCACAAAGCGGAAACTGTGAAGGTTTGTTCTGGGGATGGTTTCACAAAATAACTTTAACTCAAAAATTGGTCAAAATGTTTAGAATAAAAATCTGGTTTACAATATGTAGTAGACCATGCAAATACAGAAAGTGTTTATTTCAAATCAAGCACAATATCCCTTATAATTGAACAATCACTGACTTGTCATATCATCATTGTCCTGGTTAATTTTTGTCTTGCCTACAGTGCACTAGGTGAACTGCTGCTTGTAGGAGCCTTGCAGTGACAAAAAAAAGAGCTTTTGGACTAAAAATTTAGACCAATTTTTGGACAACAGTTCTTTTCTGAAACAGAACCCAGATGGATTTTTCTCTGCGAAGTGTGCACAGTTTGCCCAGTGATGTAGGACTCATCCCCCAATGAAACAGTTGTTCTACATAGATCAATCATACTCTGCATTGAACTCTCACTGAATTCAATCAGATTAACAGATTACCACGCCTCTTTTGTTTCCAATGTACTTGTATAATCACCATAATCACCAGGATTTCTGCATTCTACTCAATGCCAGAAGATGGATCGATCTGTACAGAATGATAGTTTCATTTGGAATGTTCCCGTAGAGTGTCGCCTGTTACTTCTCTTTATAGCTTATGCTCGAGATGAGTTTCTGTCAGTGCTGTGAAATTTGGGGTAACATGCTTGCTTTAGAGGAAGATTCAACTTATCAATTCTGTGTGCATGGTTTTTAATGCCTCCTCTTATAACTATAAACCTGTATTACCATGACTGTTTTGAGACAAAATACCACTTAGTACATTCTCAATCACCACAAGCATGCTAATTGTTCTTTGATTAGCAGTAAAATAAGATAAAAATTCAAAAACATGAAGCAGTTTATTCCATTCCATTCAATGTCACTCAGACCAGAGTTCTTAGCTGCAATTTTGTTTCTTAACTACAAAAACTGAGTATGAGTAGGCACTTTTGTGGTTCTGCCATTTTTGTGGCATTTTCTGGGACATACGTATTGCATTACAAAATCGAACCACATTTCACCTTCAGCTGTCATCACCTGTTAACACGAAGGTGTAATCATATAGTGTTAGCACATTCTACTCAATAATATTATTTTCCTCTCCACATTTTTCATGTGGCAATTAACCCTGTCCTGATTTTTCAGACAAAGTCAACAGTAAAAATATCAGAATGAACCCTATTCTAGACATGAGTACCAGATGCTTTTTGTTGTTCGTGGCATCTTTTTACTGGTTGATGGTTACCATTGATGTTTGAATAAAAAGAAGCTGTAGTATCAATGTTTTATCAAAGGAGTGTATTATTAATGTTGAATTGCCTACTTAGTACATATACATGAAAGTAAATAGAAGCAGCCCTGAGCTAGCTATCATACTATACCCTCAGTGCACATGTATTAGAAAGCTCTTGTAGATTAGAATTAGTATAATAATACTGAAATATACTGCAAATATAGCAATGTAAAATATTTACTTGGTTGTTGTGTCCTTTTGAATGCTTTATCTTGTAATTAATATTTTTATTAAGATGTTGGTTTTGATCATTTGGTCATGTTTCTTTCACATATTTTATAATTACATTATTAAAATCAGTGCACTTGCATTCATTTTAAAAGATTTCTAAAAATTAAAAATTCATATTGATTGTCTGCTCTAAGATAATACAAATTGTATTCATGTGAAGTTAGAATAATAAATTCTTCAAACAATAGCTTAAACTCAGATGTATTTCCACAGTAGCTTCTATATATATTACTTAACTGTAGAACACCTGTGTCACCTCATTTCCTGATGAAGTTGTCCTGTGAGACATAAAACAAAGGAGGGGTAATAACTCTTGACTTTAAGCTGTTGTTGAAGAATCTATTACTGGAACTTGAAGTGCATAACACAACTGATAATATTTTTTTTCCTGAATTCATGTAACAATTATTATGTTTTCACAATTCTAGATGTGAATGAGTGTGTTAATGGCAACTCTTGTCCTGGGGGGTCAATTTGCAGCAATACCATTGGTTCCTACCAGTGCACTAGGGAGAGAAGCTGTGGAACTGGGTACACTCTCAATGGGCAGACCAATATGTGTGAAGGTATATATGGAACAGCAAGGACTCAATATTCAATTGAATATTGAGTCCTAGCCTACAGTAAGAAGTTGGGATGCATCCTGGTTCACACATCTAGTAGCTGGGTTGGTCCCAACTCTGTGCAGGATTCTTGCTAAAGTGCTATCAGTGGAATCGGGCTTAGTCCACGTATAGTGCAATGTAGTTAATTACCCCTAGCTGCTCGAGGAGACATGCCTGACAACTGAGCTGATTGCACTTTAGCGAGAATCCCCTACAAAGTTGGATCCATCCAGCTAGTATGATGTCTGAATAGGAATGTGGTCTTAGACAACAGTGCCAGAATACCAAACAGCTTGAAAATGCCACCTTTGCAGTGGCAACTCCAGGAGAGGTTACAGTGTGGAAATTGGAGAAAAGCAAGCAGTATTTTACCATCCCTGTACCCTGCATTTTGTAGTACATTTGTCCTTGTCTTCATTTTTATATTTGAAAAAAAAATGAATGATAGAGAATATAATCCTTGTGCCCCCCCTTAACAAATTCCTGGATATCCCACATACACGTGTGCTTACTTGCCCATAAAACGTAAGTCTAGAAAAATAGTTACATATATGAATGTATAAAATGCATATTTAGATATCCATGGGCATACCTTCACTGGCAGTTACAACTTTTGTTAATGCCAAAATTAAAAAGTTATCCATCAAATTTGGAATGTCTCCTTTTCAGATATCGATGAATGTGCAAAACCAGAAACCAACAACTGCGGAACCGTCTTTGAGTGTGTTAACATCCCAGGGTCCTTCAGGTGCAAGTACAAGACGTGTCCAGTGGGGTATCGCCTTAATGGCCAGACGGGGAACTGTGACCCAGTTTACTGCCGTACAGGAATGAAGGCTGACCCAGTTACTGGACAGTGTGTGGGTGAGTAGGAAAACATAGAATAGATGCAAACAGATGCAAAGTGGAAAGAGCATTGCAAGTATAAAATGAAAAGTGTGATAAAATTTTTTTACGTAATTGTTCTGATGGAATAACAATGAAATTCTGGTAAATGTCAAAGGTCAAAATTATTGTTCCATATGATTGAAGATTTTTATAAAGACAAAACTTGTCAAAATACCTGATTGTATTATACATGTAGATGTTAAAAAGTAATTGTGTGTTTAAACTGTCTGTCTGTGGCACCTTTGTTTATGTGCTTAAAATTGATATATGCAACAACTACCTACAGTATATCCTTTTACATGATGATTTTTTTTCCTTAAAGATATTCTTAGGATTTGAATTTTTATTTTAGCAAAGAGTTCCACTACAGGTAAAAAGACTTTCCTACGTAAACAATCTCCTTATCATCTCTGTAGGAATAACATATTCTTTTAGAAAAATGAATTGCCCATGACATATTCTTTTTTCCAGACATCAATGAATGTGAGGCCCAGGGCACTTGCAGTGTTGGTCAGATCTGTGAAAACACTTTTGGATCATATCGCTGCAGGGACAAGTGCACATCTGGCTATGAAGCTGATGCCAACGGAATCTGTAGAGGTTAGGGTTTTTGGTCTATTTCTGTTCTTCTTCTCAATTAAGACTTTCATCAGCAATAAAGACTTTCATGTATATACACTGACAAGGATAGGCATTTCTTGTCATAATATCTGAACACAGTAGTCATTGAGAAAATACCAGATGGCAGCTGAGCCAAGAGCATCTTATGCCTTGGTTGACCAAGCTATGAAGCAGATCTAGAACTAACATTATATTTTAAAACTTCATAATTTTCAAATTGGTACACCCATAGATATAAGGTAAAGATATTTGTTCTACAGAATGAAATTAAGTCATTAAGTAATAACATGGAAATGCTTTGTCTTATTTTCAATCAGATATAGATGAATGTGCCAGAGGAACTGCGAACTGCCCACCTGGCCAGCAGTGTTTGAATCTCCCGGGGTCATTCCAGTGTCAGTGTGGGGAAGGCTATGAATTCAACCCAACAACAAGAACTTGTGATGGTTAGTAAAATAAGAAAAAACAAAACAAAACATGGGGCCACATTAGCTTGCTTCATGCCAAATACCCTGCTTGTAGGCAGGGCAGTTCTTCCAAACAGGGTAATGGCAAGAACCATCCTTTTGGTGTAGAAAAAAAACATTCTGATTAAAAATATTTCAGAAAAGTAGGACCAACATGAGGTTTCAAGATAAAAAGGTCAACTATTCTGGAAGGATACCCCCCCCCCTCCCCCACCCCCTTGAAATTGCAGGCTACTGACCTAAATATGGATGGTTGAATAAGATTTATTTTTTCACACAAAAAAGAGACAGCTAAAATGTGTACATGCTCAATAGCTGTCTAAATACAATATACTGTATGCATGAAAATGTGTGTTTCCATTGAATGGTGAAGACATACATATACTTGAACATGTATATGGTCAACAGGCCAAGTTAAAAGTCAATATTTTTGCCTGCCTAAACACCTTATTATGGTGACCATGTAATCAACATTTTCTTGCATGAAGAGAGAAATTTATTTACATTTGATTTTCCCAATTTAAATAATCAGAACAATTTATTTCCAATGATATTTCAATGATAATGATTTGCATTTGATTTCAAGATGTGGATGAATGCACCCGCTATGGCACCGTCTGCTCCTTGAATTCAAAATGTCAGAACACCCCAGGTTCCTATGAATGCACCTGTAACACAGGCTTCAAAAGAGCACGGAATGGGCGTAACTGCATTGGTAATGTGAATCACAAATTGTTGAATTCTGGCAACAGATTTTTTTTTCATGTCAGAGACTTCAAAACTTTTTCTTTGTCTTATCAATGTTTTTTACCAGACTAAGAAACATTTTCAGATTCAAATAAGCTGAACCTGATGCTGTAACAGCATATAACTTTTCATGGTGATTAAAGATTAGAGAAATATTTCTAATAAGTACCCATTTGAATAAAGTAATAATTTTAAGTATGTAATGCACAACAGAATAAATCATAATAATTGTTTATTATTCTGGGAACTGTGAAGATAAACATGGTTTTAAACATTACAAATTAGAGAGAACGATGTGCAAGAGGATATAAACATGTGATAGATGGCAGAAAAAAAACTGCCAGAGTTACGAAACAACATTTATAACTGCTAATCCAATTTTCACCCACAGTGCTCTCTACACATTGTAATTAAAATCCTTGAAAATGAACACTTATTAAATTCTCGCTCCAGACATTAACGAATGTGAGGAGAGTCCAGGCATTTGTCCTCACAGTTGTATCAACACCTGGGGCAGCTTCCAGTGTACCTGTAGAGAGGGGTTCAGACTGGGCACAGATGGCAGGACCTGTGTTGGTACGTTTTAACAGGAGGCACATTAGCTGCAAACGAGCCATTGCTTTAATAAAAATGAATTCAAGAAATTTGAAAGCCTTTAAGTTTCCATTATTTATTGTTATTTATTTATCTGTTTACAGTAGTTTTTAAATTTATGTACGGTTATGTCTTCTTTTTTCTTTGTGTTTGTGTTAGAATTTATTTCTGTATAAATCTATTTATTTATCTGTTCACTCATTATTAATTTATTTATCTGTTCACTCATTATTAATTAATTTATTTATATATTTATTCTACACAGACATAGATGAGTGTGAAGAGTGGGCAGACAAAGGGAGACTATGTATTGGACTGTGTCAGAACACTGAGGGATCCTACACTTGCTCCTGTCCTGCTGGCTACAGAATGACACCTGGTGGCAGAATTTGTGCAGGTACTGGAGTCTGATGTCGTCTGCTGGAAAAATGTCATCAGCACATACTGCTGACAACGTAGAAAAAAGGGAGAAGATTATATGTGTGTGTAAGAAGTAGTTTCAATTCAAAATCATTGGGAATTCAGACTTTACTAAAAGTAACATTAGAATATGAATTAGACGAAGAAAGGGGAAATTATGGGTACTGTAGGCTACACAAGTTTTAAAGAACCTCATTTATCCCACTTCTTACACGTCTTATTTCATGTGAAAAAACGGCTTTTGGTTGTTGTTTGCAGACATTGACGAGTGTGCTGAAGGTTCTGCCAACTGTAACGGACCCAATCAACTCTGTATCAACACCAGGGGGAGCTTCAAGTGCAATGTGATCCAATGTCCCCAAGGTTTTATGCGTCAAGGCGGACAATCAAGTGCGAAGTAAGTACTCACAGTGAAATGCTTGGCTCAGGCTGGTTTGAAAGTTGCCAACACTAGCTTACAATGGCTTGGATTATTTATTTATTTATTTATTTTTATTTATTTATTTTTATTTTTATTTTTTTTTTTTTGATAATTTTATTAGCCTCAAGCTGATATTTAAATAATATGTCACTGTAGAAACTGAATGGTAAGAATCTGCATTAGGATAAAGCCTTGTTTTTGCACTCAGAACACCGCTTGGGTTGTGGTTATCGATTGTGTAGTGGATGTAAATTTGGGTTTGCATGGCAAAAGTAACTTCTTGGGAGTTCACGTCTTTTAAAATTAAAAAAGTGTCACCGTCAAAATCTGAGTCATGCATTAAAACAATTTTTGGATAGAATTTTCAACACTTGCATGATTTTTTTCCACAAACAATTTTTCTGATAACAATAACACACAAGCCAAAGGCACTACTCACTATAGGCCTATCCGTGTAAGGTTACAATAGAATCGAATAAAACAAAGTTTATCCAAACCATGAAATTGCCCTTCAAATGCAAACTAGTTGATGATCTTCTAATGCAGGTTTTTATTTCTTTTCACTTTCTACAGTAGCGTCCGCTGCCAGCGAGTTTCGTTCATCTGCGCTCAGGGAGACGTAGCGTGCCAGGAGGCCCCTCTGTCCTACTCCTACAATTTCCTCAGTTTCCCCACAAAGATCCGCATCCCCGCCGAGCTGTTCACCATGCGAGGGCCCTCCTCTCCGTATAGGAGGGTGGCGTTCGAGCTGATCTTGGATTCTGCACGTAACCCGGCCAGCGGCATCCAGAGCGTCTTCCGTAGCCATTTTAAGTTAGACAACACGAGGCCGTATGAGGTCGTAGTGAGCTTGGACAGGCCTATCACTGAAGCACAAGATATCGAGCTAACGCTGAATATGAAATTGTATAATCAACCGGATAACACCTTCCTTGGAGTTGCTGTTGCCAAAATTACCATCTACGCAACTGCTGATCAGCTTACTTAATTTTGATCAAGTCTATTGAACAGCTGCTTAACTTTCAGAATATGCCGCCCAATATGTGAAAAGCAAAACGCAATTTTGCACAGCGCTGAACTTGTGAAAAGAAAGAATTTTTATGAAGATTTCATCTTTGTGTGGTTTCATAGATGAGTCTTAAACACGATTGAGATTGGAAACGAGTAAATCTGCAAAACGTGCTTGAATTTATGTTTTAGGATTGTTTAAGGTGTAAGAGCAAAAGTCAACTAATAATTCAATTTATCAATAACTATAGCTACAATTTTAGAACGTAATTTTCATATATTAGGATTTGGTAGAATAAAGATTTTATGTCATTGTTGGGCGTGAATAAAGGAGTTGGATTCAACAGCTAATTCCAGATTGTAATTTTTAGTAAAGAAACGTTTTTAAATCGTTTCCTTGTGTTTCAGTTGAACGGGATATTGTCACTGTTATGCTTGCTAACATGTGGCCAAGCAAAGCAAAAAACCTACATTTTGATGTATTGCCAGCTCAGAGAGCGTGATTTTTAGACGATAAGGCAATATATTTCAGTTTTAAACTTGCTTAGTCTTTATGACAGACCAAAATGGCGTGGAAATCGGAGACAAAACGGGATCAAGATTGGATTTTAGTAGACGTGTACATTATCATTAATTCAGGTTTTAAATTAGAATTTAAAAAAAATGGTATTGATTCAAAATATGGACTAGAAAAAAAAGGTCACGTGTAACGGGTCTGTTTTGAGATTGTATTGAATTTGTAAAAGATTGTTTCATTTTATGTGTACTTAGTTTACTATATCCAGCTGTAAGTTAGATATTCATTTAAGATATGATAACATTTTCATAAATCTGATAAAAAAGTGGAAACTATCCGATTTGTGTTTGTTCTGAAACTGTTGATATCTGGAAAATCCGTGCTGTACATCTAGAATGAAATAAATTCTTTTGCGTTCAGGTCGTAAAATAACGTTCTTTCTATATTACACTTGCTGCATGCAGCTGATTACATACATGCGGAAGTTAGAAGTGTTATAAAACAAGCTAAACAAAATAGTCAACAAGAAATCGGCAATAACTTTTCAAATTTATATTCTCCTGTCTATCCACAAAAATGCACGTATTTCATAAAATGATCCTAATTGAGCCAGGGAATTATATCCGATATAATTCCCTGATTGAGCTTAGTAAATTCTCTTTACTTATAATCACAGAAAATCAGCAAGTTTGATTTTTGAAATTTGAAAAATGCAAGACACATTCTTGCCCCTGTCAACACTCCCGTCTGCGCAGAGCAATTAAACTATAAATTAACAGTTAATAGTAAACTGCTTTATAATTTGAATCTTACATTTCACTTGTAACAATTGTCCCTAACATGGCGATAATATTCTAAATCTAGTCTTAATTAAAAATTATCCACGTTGAAAACTTTTTCCAGAATCCTTACAGACGACGGCGTTCTTTGTCTGCGCAAGGCATGTAGCACTCTCGACATTGAGTGCCTCCTCAACCAGACGCGGTCAGTGGCCTTTCAGTACCTGTCCATCCCAACAGTGACCAGACTAGAACCAGGCCGGAGTGAGCTGTTAATGAGCGTCCAGGCACAGGTGGACGGCTACGTCATGTATCCCAACGTGAAGCTGGACATTTTGAGCGGGAACGCCGAGGAGCTGTTTGAGTTGGCCAAGACAACCAGGACTGGAGGTAAATGTCCATGTACTTTAGGCTGTGTTTCTGACTTTTCGCACATTTTAACTAAACGATGAACTTTTTTCTTTCACAAACATTGTCAAAAAGGTACAAAAGAAAGTTGAGTAAGCAAGATTTGCATATTGAGTTGCGACTATTACATTTTTTTAAATTTTAGTAACGAAAATGACTTTAGGTATTCTTAACGAATTGTAAATCATAAAATGCATGTTCATATTCGCTGTCTTGCATGAAAATTGAATATTCATCGATTATCTATAACCACTTAAAAGTAGTTTACGTAATGTTACAAGTACGTGTCGTGTCACTGTGCTGTTGTCTCACTTATTGCATGACATTGAATCTATGTGGTTTATATCTTCATTTTTCAGGTGAGCTCCGCTTGATCAAACCCATACGTGGCCCCGCCCTCCATCACCTGTCACTCTCCCTGGGCAGTCGGAACCGTGCAGGTTACCTGGTCTCCAAACACATCGCCTTCGTCACCATTGACGTGTCTAGGTATCCCTTCTAGACACACTCTGGACCGCGTAATTCAAGTACACGTATTCGGAACAGGATGAAAGCTCGATGTCGTTTGTAAACAGCCTTTATGCCAACACGAAGCCTAGGATACAATGGCAATGCTATGCCCGTACGATGCACGTATCCTGGGCGTAAATCCCTTTCGTGCGACGTCTGTGCAGAGGCAGGCGGTGGCCATGCCAAATAGCACGGATTTTCGGCCTCCGTACATGTAGCCTAGAACCACGATTTTTGTCATACTCAGGCGTCGCAAGAAAGGGGATTTACGGGCAGCATTCGAGCTTTGTACGGAAAATGCACGGCAAATGCAATCTAGGCTTTACTGACTTTACTCTGATAGAAAATGCCATCAAAGTTCATTGGCGCAAGTACGCGTATTTGTCGTAAGCGGCGAAGTCCGCCTATCGATTGTTATATAATTTTTATATAGGATACGTGATGAACTGCTGTTCTATTTTATCAATTTACTCTCGTCTTCATATATCGCCAGCTTCATGTTCAGAATGTTTTAGAAGGTCACGATATTCATGTGTTGAATTGAACCGTGGGAAGTTCTATAATATTTTTTCGTACACTTGTACGTGCCATGTTTATTGCTTCCAGCTTTAAGTTACTACAGCATTATGAAAAATATGATATGCTTTTTACATACTATATGATACCTCGAATATAAGATGAAACATGCGATATTAACCGTGGGCTAGCCGGAGTACTTACATACAACAGAAAAGTTGAGAATGGCTACCAATATTTAATTGAACTAAATGATGATATCACAAATTTTGTATTTGTATCTTTCAGTTTAGAATTCAAACATCGGATATTTAGGTTCCCATTATGTTTCTTATATGATTTTTACACGCAGTATTACCAGTATTATCTCTTCTTTGGTGCACTCGCTGCTTTGGAGACGGCTGATTTAGCATTTTATGAAACAGTCTTGTAAATCAACACGCCGATGATGATATATTACTATGTACCACAATACTGATACATCGGATTTTGGTAGTGGGTAATATACAATAATAATTTTGATACAAATTGACTTTAGATATATATTTAGCAAGATGATTTATTTAAAAAAATATTTCTTTTAATAAATATAACATTTCAAAACAGTTCTTGGCGAATGATTTAATTTCAGACATGTAGGCTACCATCCCATTTCAGCGAAACATATGGGGTTATTTAAACAATATTTATGAATATGCACATTAATGTTTACCCTAGGTACACAAAGCAATAATCAAAGTATTTTCTTATATTGCAGCTTATGATATGCAATACCAATAAACGTCTGACTTGAATTACAGCTGTCGCTTTTTTTTATATGTTACGCTTACTGTTCCGTATTTGTTTGATTCTGAATCAGGTATAGTGTCATCAACGGTTTTTGATCCAATCTCATAAACTTGAAATGGATACACCTATCTATTAGCATTTATTATCACCTCAGACAAACATCACCATCATGTATCTCTTCCGAGGTGTTGGAACTACTTGTTCCAATCATGCTTAACAATGGTTTTGCAAAACTGTCTGTGTCAAGAATGACAAACAAATTTATGTGTCGCGTTCTGAGAACATGGTACTGATCTAAAAAATATAAACTTTAAATTAAAAGACTCGTCTGGCCAAGTTAACAATGTGAGATGGCAATTTTGAAAAACTAGTTATAATACTCTGCTTGGTTCATTTTCATGTCAAGGTAAGTTTCAGATAATCTGACTCTTGAGATTTCAAGTCCTGGAGATTATTACTATCATTCGCGTTCAGTCCATGATCTGGATCTAAGTTTGATGGGTCGCTCATTTTTGCATTAATGTTAGCATTTCCGATCTCGGTCGACTCCTCTAAAGATGTCCCGCTTGACGTCGTCCTGGAGGATGCAAAAATGTCTGCGTAAAGGTCGTTAGAGATGGAAGTGGGAGACTGCGGAACGTCGTCTACTCGATATACTATTTGTCTCTGCTTTACGTAGCTATAATCTCCACTGAGGGACGCTTCATCGTCTATTGTGTGTCTGTTGCTTATGTAGGAATATTCATTAGATCTTGTTGGAACCGTTAATTTTGTATGGGGATTATACGTTTCATTTTGTCGCAATGTATTACTATCGCTATATCCATGGTTTTCAATCTCAGACTTTTTTGATTGAGCGATGTTATTTTCAGGTGGTTTAGATCTAAAAATGACCCCTGCACGTTTTTCTAGACTTGTCGAATTAAAAAGTTCAAGATATGCCGGCTCATTCAGCTCACAACCGTTGGTGACGTCATCAGATGAGACCGTGTCACGTGACGAGTCTCTGACGTAAACAGCGGTTTCTTCATAATTGTTTTCAGGCTTGTGACACTGGGGATTTTCCTCGCTGTCATCGTGATTGGCACCAAATATCTGCTTGGCGCAGCTGTAGTTTCCGCTTTGGGTGACCTCCTCACCAACTGTCGTCTGCTCCGGTTCACTCCCCGAGTTAGTTGGACTATTTACCCTTTGATGGCCATTTAACTCACTGAGTGTCGTTATACTTGGTACATAGAGTGGGTTATCTTCTAAGAAACCCGAGTAATGATTTGTCTTGGGGACAGGATCGGAAGGGCGATGAAGAACCTCATAATTCCTGGTAACGGACTCTGGGGCATGATTTTCATAGATGGTGGAGACGGTGTTCACGTTTCGTGCACTTGTAACAGACTCTGCAGGGTCATCGTAGAGTGGACTCTGAAACAATTAGCAAAATGTTCATTAGGATGAATGGTTTCAGTAAATTAAAACGTAATAAATAACCATAAAATAATTTTAAAAGGCCTTTTTGCACTAAGCACTTACTTATGACCAAAGCCGACCTACAATGGTCCAGATCGTCAGAAAAAAACATGCAACTTTTTTACCCAAGAGTTGAAAACTTAGGCCTACTAACTGCAAATGCCTTGTTTACCAGAAGTTTCTGTTCATTAATTGCACTATAAATATCCTGCAGTCATAGCAATGATCTCTGAGTGCAATCAGCTCTGGTATTGCGTGCTACGTGAACCGTATTCGTCTTAATCCTATTCACAGTTTTTCTAGGAATATGCGCGAGGGGTCAGTGAAATGGAAATATAGGATTTTGTAAATCATCATAACCAACCTGGGATTCTGTTCTTCTTGATCGGCGGCCTGAACTGGCTCTTCTTTGAACAGGATTGTGTAGGTGAGTTCTAGAAAACACGGGGATGCTATTTATTTAGAGCATAATTAGATCCTAAATACTTTGGCAGTTTGTCTATGAGAACGTCATTACAGTAGATGTTGTCTTCGTCTACTGTATATATGTAGGTCTACAACATGAAGTTTTAAGCATGGCATTTTAACACTAAACCCCACAAACCGATAAAAAGGCCCATGAAATGCATAGTTACGACCCAGAGTTTCAGAATTTGCATGGAGCCAAAATGTCTTTCATTAACGTGAAACAGAAAAGATGCTTATGAAAAAGAATTTGTCACCAATTGTCTCCAATAAGCCATGAAACTCCAATTAATCCGTTTTATATTTTGTAATTAGTCGTCACACCTTGAAATACAGAACGGTACATCAGAGCCGCGATGATAGATTATTGTTTTTTGAATCATGACATAAACGGAATATATCCACATTTTTAAAATGAGGTTTATAGAAGTGTGATAATTTAGCCTTCGTGAGCAATATTTTACACCCACCTTTTCCATATGAAAGCTGCAACTATGAGTAACGCAACAATAGCAAGGCTGCCTGCAACGCCGCCTCCGATTGCTGCTGCATTCAAGTTGGGACTTGGTACCTCGTCGTTTTTCTTTCCAGCTGGGGCTGTCGAGATAAAAAGGGGAGAATGTACCACATTTATTGTTCTAAACAAAGGTCTTCTTTTGACACCCGCGTTTCAGAGCACTGACGGTGGGTCTCTCCTTCCTTGCTCACGTTCCCCATAACCTTTTCAGTTGTTGGGAAACGGTTTGAATGAAAGTGGTGAACAGGGGTGGATCCAGGATTATTTGAAGGGGGAGGTCCGCGGATGCGAAGCCGCCCTTTCCACCCCCCCCCTCCCATGGTGTGGGGTTCGGGGCCTGCTCAAGGACCCCGAAAATTTTTTGTTGTTTTGGAGAGCAAACAGTGCCCTTTGGTACGGTTTAGAACTATGATTCAGGTAGTCAAAATGATGAGATGAGAATATTGGCGTGATATATTTTTCAGAAACCGAAGGGGGATCAGGATCCCCCTGACCCCCCCTCTAAATCTGCCACTGATAGTGAGATACATATAACTACCAGCGAGCTTTGTGACTGTTTTTTTAAACCGTCTGCATATTTTCGATTTGAAAAAAAAACCAGTGAATATTTTAGATGTTTTGATAGGACAAGGGTATTTCATCATAACCTTAGGCGGCTGGGATCTATTTAACATTATAAAGACAAAATTGTTAGTCCCGCTCTTCTTCCCATCACAACACACACGCGAGCACGCGGGCACATACACACACACACACACACATACTTTAAGGGAGCCAAGAGACCATTCTGAGACCAACAGAAACATGACACTTTTAATTCAATAAGTATTGGGAAATATTGGGAAAAAGAATGAATGATCGATGAACAATTAAATTCCCAAAGTCTAACCACTACTTGACACTTGACATTCTGGATCGAGCAGTGCAAATTATTATGTTACAGGAAAACCTACATGTATTAGTCGTTGTGGGACAGGTTAACCTATTGACATTACTCGAGCTACCTACAAACTTATACCACAGTATGAAAATGATTTATCTCAGTCATTGTGGTTTGGAAATGTCGAATGATAACCTTAATGTACCTGTAATGTAGTTACCGTTGTCATGTTAGCAGATACTGGAGCTACAACAAGGTTTGGTAGTACAAAATTTAATGATTGCAATTTCACAGCTTTACTTTGTGTCAATGAAATATAAAAATCAAATTATGATAACTGATGCTTCAGTTCTGCTTACACATTTATAGTTATGGCTACCTAAAAGTGTTCTTACAAAAAAAAAAAACACTTTCTTTTCAGTTAATTAATTGATAAGACAGTGGCTTGATGGGAGTAAATTCTTAGCAATACCTGAACGCGTTTACTTAAACAAACAGCAGTTCATGTTTCCCACGTGCATAATACGTCATATGTACACTGCCAGTTAAATACTAAACACACTGCCGGTTCTTCATAGGAAGGTGGACGAGGGTTAAAATGTATTGCACTCACCCGTCGTGACGTCAGCTGGAGCAAACCCTGACGTCATATCTGTTGTAGACTTTGGTGACAGTGTAGTTTTCACTGGAGGCTTATCTGTTGTCATTGTTGTTGCTGCAGCTACAGTCACAGACTGAATGGCAATTGAAGTCATTGCAATTTTTGACATAAATGTTGTTATTGGTGGTGACGCAGTTTTAGTAGGTGGTGGAACTGTTCTTTTAGTTGGTTTCGACGGGCAGTTGTATGTGCAAAAGCCAAAGGATACACAAGACTGACTGCTTGAGTCGAAGTATCTGGAGATGCATGTTTTGATCCTCCACTGCCCATTAATACACGTGAAGTACAATTTACAATCCCAAACAACTGGGTGTAACTTGCTATCGGTGCAGCTTTTTTGTGTGAAGCCACAGGGCCATTCTGAAATAAAACGAGTGATAAAATAGTGAAAAAAGCGTACATGTAGGTCTAAATCTGATACACGACACAAACCCTCTCTCTCTCTCTTAACGCATAATGCAATCTTTTAATGCAATTTTTATACGCATCAGCACACTGTGGATTTAGCTTGGGTTGGTTGAAATCGCCCTTTTAAAGAAAGACAGCGTATAGGGGTCTAAATCTGAGACAAGGCCAAAAGTTTACCGAGAAAAGCTTTCCCTGTTGGGTAAATGCAATTTTTATATGTACATGTATTGGGTGTTAACGAAAGGTAAACGACCAGAATTAATCTTTATGCAAACGGAACAGTAAATGATAGCTGACCGTTAAAAAAATATGACATACAATGCTGGAGATGAAGAAACTGAACAGATGGAGTGTTACCTTGGGTTGCCGCATTTTTCTCCTGTCCTGTTGTTGTCATTACAAAGACGGACAGCATAACAAAACAAGTCAATTTCATCCTCTACGCAGACATAACATTGGAAAGGGGGACGAAATATAGACTTTGATTCAACACCTGACTACGTTGCATTGATTGATGCATCGTGAATGTTTACCTTGGTATATTAAGGGCACATGACAGTGACCCTTGGATGCCAATATCTCTGCTATGAATTCAACACAAAGGCCAGGTTTATTTAGATGTTTAGTTTACAGATTATGTTTTGTCAAGTAAATTATAAGTCATGCACATAAGCATACGATTGCAATCGATCAATTTAGATATCTCTTAGGAGGATTTGATATGTTTTGCCAAGAGATTGAAGTGAATCAAATCATAAACATACGATTGCTATTAAACATTAAGTTATTTACATGTGTAAATAATTTTGGATATAAATTGTAGCTTGTGTTTTGTTTTCATTTAGTTGTCTCTTCAGAAGGGGGCAGTGCGTGACTTTATAAGCAGGGGGTGTCGAGGAATAACATGCAACTTTAAAGGAAGTGGTGATCTTTTATAAGCATCTCATGTTTGCAAGTTGTCTGTTTTGTGCATTTTTCTGCCACGAACAGACATTCCGCCTTTTTTCAAGTACTCTGCGGTTATGCTTGGAAATCAAAATGGATCCAAGGGTGCTGTGAGCCAAATATTCCCCCCTGCCTGGCCTTACCTGACTACGTGAGAGTGTTATCTCATCCGGGTTCGTGAAGTGGGCATCATTAATCAAATACTAATACATGTCAGGTTTACACGTATCAGACTTGTGTCAGTGCTGAAGTAGGTGTCATACCAGTAGATGGCTAAAACGGTGTCTGTGTAAATTTCTTTTTTTTTATCCAGTGTATGCCTATTCTTGAAGCGCCTGCTTAATGTCCATCTAAATATTTGATGGTCTTCATCAACGGGTTTCATTAGATCTCTGTTTGTCTGTCTGTCTGTCAGTAATAATGAATTTATTTAATTAATTAATTATTTATTTATTTATGTTTAATTTAGCTTCTGTTAGTTTTTGCAGGTTTTTATTTCATTTACCGGTAGTCATTCATTTTTTAAATTAGTTTATTCACTTATCTACTGGTGATTTATTTGGTAATATATCATGCATATCCTGTTCACCCTAATGTTCAAAATATTGATTTTCCATTGTTGTAACAAGTGCGCAGTTTGAGTGCATGTTTAGATAACGGGAGTCCTTTGCACCACATTATCATGTATTACTCAGGGTAATTACCATATATTATACTGCCAAGTCTGCACCATTTTATCAGTAACTTAGGTCTGAGTTTACACATACCTTTTAATGTGTCTTGATACATCAACGAGGATTAAACGTGGGCCTACTCGAACATTTTTTGTATATTACTGTAGAGAATACTTTTTTTCAAAAGTTATTCATTTTGTTTGTGTACGTATAGTGGTAAACAGTTGTGCACAATTAAACTGTTTCTTTTTTATTATAACTGAAAATGTCCGACGACGGTCAACAGCATCTGAAGATATATTACACATTTCTGACTGGAAATTAAGAGGTTAATTGCCTTGATTGCCCGAGATATCTTATGTGAACAGCGCTTTAGATCACCGTGTGAAGCGCACTTGGCATGGGTTCTAATCACAGCGTGGTTAATGATTACACATACATGCATTATTTCAAACATATTATATGATGGTAAATATATGATTCATGTTGCACACGGCGCTGTGCGATATATCAACCCTTTTTTCCGTTGAGGGGCGTGTTGGATTGAATGCCCTTTGCTACTACAGTGTCCTTAGAGCCCTATGACTTAAAAAAGAGGGGGGGGGGGCGTGTCATCCGGCCTCTGGTACCAAGCATGTCCAGGTTCTCCAGTAGTTACAAGCTGAGCAAAGCTTCCTCATACCTTGTCTACCAAGTACGGCCTACATTATTAAAGTATCAATCGCTTTCCCTTCTTTGCACCCTGTGTTTAGACAAGAAGTTATAACATTTGTTATAACTCCTTGGTTTAGAGGACCCTGGGACTTTATAGTCAACTCCGTATAACCAGCAAAGCCTCTGTGGTTCTAATACTGATTGTATGAAGGCGAGTTTCCAGTGTCCTTTGAAACTCAGGGTGCTTTGTCGATGATATTGCTGATATCTACTGGTTGGGCAAGTCTGAGCTGATATGAAAAATTATAGTATAGCAAACGGGCAATCTAACACCAGAAATAGGTTTAAGTTAAACAATCTAACCAACATTGCCATGTACTTATTTTATTTCATCATAAATATTGAGTTGAAATAACTTTGATTTTAGCCGTTGTTTATAAAAAGTATGAATTAACACAAGTTAAGAACATGCCTTTATGCCTAGATTTCCTAATTGCTCTATAAAAATTGACATAAATCGCCTCAATAAAGGCACATTGTTTTCACACCACATCCTTACTGGGTATATTTCCTTAATCTCAGCAATTTGAGAAGAAGCTTTCTTAACTGTCGCTGCGGAAAGGTGTTATTTGACAGCATTTAAGGATAGGTACAAAATGATAGTGTATCCAATATCATACAGGATTGTTGCAGGTAAGGATTTTCATTTTTTAGTGTTTTAGACAGGTACAGAAGTGAGATGTGTGTGTGTGTGTTGGGGGGGGGGGGGTTCTACCTGAAAGAAAATACAGAAATTACTAGGGATGTGAGAAACTAAAATTCCCCTATCAAACACTACCCCCCCCCCCACGCGCTTGCCCACCAATCCACTACAGTACAACGAGATCAGCCGATAAACCTTGTACGTTTCTTTCCCCTTGATCTGCCCTCTTCAAGATGTGGATTGTCACGACCAAGTGTTTGGATTGATTATTCATGTGCATGTCGAATGTTTAGGGCTCTCTTGACCCCAAAAACATACACAATATATAAGGACAAACAGGGGAAAGATAATGTACTAATTGTGATTCAGATTATAGGCAACGGTGTTTGGTATCATTTAACTGATAAAAATGTCACGATTTTTATATAAGTCCTGTAAAGTGTGATCAGCATGGAAACCATATGTTGTGATTTTCCTACAGGTGATTAAAAATGCAAGAAGCGGTATATCTTAAAGTGTAAACCTCAAACGTCTGAGGACGGTACTGACTTAAGTATTATTGTGAACATCAATGCATTTTCATTCTTATAAAGAGCATATTGCTATTTTACCGTGATATTGAAATATTTCCCCTGATAAATAAAGTTAGCAAGATAGTGATTATTTATCGTATGCCATTTAACCCGAGTGGAAAATGGTGTCATAAAAGTTGGTTAACATCAGTGGCTCATTTCGTTGAAGTGCTTCGTATTTGGCATACGTGCTGTTTGAAATAAGGGAGAATACCAAAAATAATACCAAATAAGAGACGAAAAAAAACACCATACAGGAAAGGGATATAAGTAATAATTTAAATAGCCTGACAGTCACTTGCTATAATGCAAGGTTAGTCAAGGATGTCTGTAATATCTGTATTCAATCCCCTCATTTATATCGGAAAAACGCTGTATTCCACCAGTTTCGCTTGCTTGGAGAAGATTTATATACTGTACGTTGCATAGATTGTTTTCACCTGACACCTGCTTAGAAATTGAGTGTCATATCAATTAGTCAAGTTTTTTATTATTATTTGCTGTATATGAAAATATCCACTGTGCCAGGCAAGATCTGTCTTCGATTACAGTTAGAGTATTATACGGACGATAAATTTTATTTCACGTCGCTGTAGTATATATCGTGAACATCGGCCGGTGTGGTGTAATAGTCACTTTCCTCCGTTTTTGTCTCGTTTTCATTGTCGACGCCCACGAGTTCCGTGTAAGTATAATCATCTTCGCATGCCGCATACTTAGGCTCGTCGGCCATATTGTTGCAAGAAGCATCATCATCATCACACGAGCCATACAGAGAATTTCCTCGCATCAAAACAAATGAATGGTCGTGGTTTTCTGCTTTTCGATTTGTCGGTTTTGAAACGGTACTGTAAGTGTGATCAGTATTTTTATTGTTATCTGTACTATTACCATGCTCTTTGCATGGTTTTGTATCTTTTGCACTTGCAGTCCCTTTGGTTTCGTCTGGGAGGTTGTAGTAGGCTTCATCTGGGCCCACTGAGTACAGTGAATTGCTAGTCATCGATATAGATGAATTGTCACTTTTATTTGAGAGAGAAAGTGTCAATGGAGCTTTCTTTTCAAAGCGATTGGTGTTTTTTGTGTTGTTCAGCACCTGTTCGCCGTTCGGGTAGAGTCCGTCTTGGCCATGATGCGTTTGATCATTCTGTAATTAAGATATAACTGTGTCATGTCAAAAAGTTTGTTTTGGTCAACCGTCAGATCTTTTATTGACATATTTCCATTCTTTACTGTGCAGTTACCCATAAGTGTAAATCTGCAAAGAATTTTTCTTTTAATTCAAGAATAGCGCAATTTAACAGTCTTATGGTAAAGTTTCGGTATTTTCAAAAAAAATGACACTTTGGAATCTTACCGTATTTGATTGGTCTCTCTTTATTGGTTTTCTCTTAAACATGCTGAAAAATGTCGACGAAGAATAAAATAAACGTTTAGGTTTAATCGAACTAGTTGTTGATACTTGATAAATTACAATATATTACACCCAAAACGACTTTTCTGATTCATAATGTAAGTACAGCTTCTTTATTTACGACGTCTTGAACATTCCCTGTGTGTAAAAAACAGAAGACGTTTTTTATTATAAGTGCCTTTACCTTAAGAGCATATCTCTCCTTTTCCACCAAAGCAGCCCCAGTATAATCACAACAAGAACCAGTACCACGACTACCACAACACCTGCTATAACACCTGCATGACTGGAACCGCCTGTATTGGGTAACGAGTCTGTAAAAATATATGATAATTGTTAGCATTTGCAAAATCCCGTATTATTTGAATATATAGGCACTCTTCCTAGACTATGGAATTATAACTTTGAAAGACGGGCAAAATATAATAAAGATACATGAATAAAACGTGAACATAATTCGGTCTTGCAACGTGCACACTATTCACACTATTCATTATCAGGCCTACCCAACTACTAGACTCGGCACCTACGGATCCAGAATAAACCGGTATATCAGACCACACTACCCGTTTTCAAGGTGTGTGTCAGATCGCATTACAGAGTATCATACCCCATCACAAATTTTGTAGGCCTACCTGTCATCCGGGTATCGCGCCTCGTTTTCGTCAGGTAGGAGTCGTATGAATACAACAACATGGCGACAGACGGTAGTCGGTGAAAAAATTGCATAATTTTATTTAACCCCCGACAGAATATGCTACGCTATCAAAATTAGGTATACTTTTCTAAATTAATATATAAGTTTGCATGTTCTTATTTACAAAACATCATTGGCTATGTTCGAACCTAAATTGTATGTTAAAAAATTGCGGTATTGTCAGATTTTTAGCATAAACAGGGAAAATTGCAGCAGCGCATGAATCTAGATGAGATGCACTACTTTCCAACCCCGCTTAGGATCATGGCTATCACATAGCGCACCAGGCAAAATCGGTGTGGTGGCTGATACTCTGTAATGCGATCTGACACATACCTTGAAAACGGGTAGTGTGGTCTGATATACCGGTTTATTCTGGATCCGTAGGTGCCGAGTCTGGTAGTTGGGTAGGCCTGATTATTAAACGGAATTATATATATATATATATATATATATATATATATATATATATATTGTTACCCATCCTTTTGGTTCCAGTGGTCCCCTGACCATTGGTTAAGGTTGTCGCCCGGGTAACTGAGGTAGAAGTAGATGTCCTACCTGTTGAAACCGGTCCTGCATGGATACTCGTTGATATTTTGGCTGACGTAGTTATTTTTGTAGTCGAAGTAGTAGAAGAAGTAGACGAGTTACAATTGACAACTTTACAATGCTGCACTGGGGTCCCGCAAAAACTAGGTGATGCACCGCTGCAGCCTCGCCTGATCCATTTACCATTATCACATTGAAAGTAAGTACGGCAGTCCTCTGGGTTTGGAACAGACGCGCTGTTTGAACAATACTCATCATTATATCCACAAGGCCAGGCGACTAGTTGGAAAAAAACAACATTGTGAGAACACCATGAACATGAAAAATAAACGCAATACACAGTCAGATAAATTTTAATTTAAAAACATAATTTAAAACCATCATTAACTTGGCAATGTTTTGAATTTTATCATGACAAGGTGTCTATACGTTTAAAGAACTTTGAAGTATCAACCTAAGTTAGCCAGTTATGATCGCATATCGCAGACCGTATATCGCAGATACCTATTAATCAGTTGCCCCAGTTAAGACTAGAGTATGGTTTTATTTCTTTCAGTTTTCACGGAGTACAGTATTCAGATTCCGTAGTTATCACAGAGCTTGATAGGTTGGACTGGTTTGGAGACTATTTGACACATTATTGAAACCCACGATTAAATTTCACTTCAATGCAATATGAACTTGCAATGGGAATAAGAATAATTATTTTGAATCATTTCACAACTGTAGCTCCGATGTACAAATGACTTACACAGTCGTTGTTATTCTAGCTTTGAAAAAAAAAACGATAAACCCAAAATTTCGATTCTGCAAACACAATGTGGGTAGGCAATGTTACTTATAAAGCTTGAAAATATAGGCCTACATGTATGTAGCAGCTTCCAAAGTTAAACGATGTAGGGCCAAAGACTGAAATTTCATACTTTTTATGCAAAAAAAATTATGATTTTAAATTTAAAGCAGATGCTAAAGCGAAATATCGCCTACTGTATAGCATTTGATTTTGTAACCCCTTAGATAAGCAGTACCATGAACGATGTGAATGTTTATTTACATGAAGGTATTGCAAATGGACACATTAGCGTGACACAGACGTGAACTGCATTTAATAAACTCACAATGACATCGTCTGTACTTCGGGGAGTTAATGCAGAAACTTTAAACCGTTCTGAGCGTGGCCATGCTAACACCTACCTATATTCAAAATGTGGAAGCTTGTTATCCAGCCCAGCGTAACAATGAGGTTACTAAAAATACACCTCGATGCACTGGTCCTCATCCTGTCCCTGTCGGCTACCTAGCCACCTCGTCACAATTAAGTATGTCACAAAAATATGTGTGTATTAACGTCAGGGAAATCCGGCGAGAATTACATTGTCACCTCTCCAACTCCCGGAGTCAGACAGAAGAATGTGTGTAATTACGACACTCCATTTTCGATTTTGACAGGTGCATGAATCGCGTCCTAATTTATGCCAACACCTGGTTTGTTTGCTGCTCTACCAGGAAGTAAATCAGAGGTCACGTTGAGGTCCGGGGTAAGTGACAATAAATATTTTGTCACATGTTTTCGATAAAGTGTAGGAAGAAAATGATAAACAGAAAGCATTAGTCAGTGCAATACCTGGTATATGTGTATTGTAGAGGGGATTTTCAGTAGAATTTTTCTGCTGAAATACGGCGGTATAATTTTCCCATTAAAATTCAGTCTAGATAGTGAATGGGCTTCAAATAGCACAGACAGAATTTCCCGCTGTTCGAGTCACCATTATGCAGTGTTTACAGTTCTAGGGGTTACTGAAGTTATCTTTCTTATTATATACCTTTAAGCGAAAGGTTATGAAAATTTTATTTATTTATTTGTTTATTTATTTATTTATTTATTTATTTATTTATTTATTTATTTATTTTGTGAATGCAAAAAATGAGCTCATCATATCTGGTTAAAATCGTCATGTTTGAACAAAATTTGGATTTCAACCTGTCAAAACAATTTTTTACTGGAAATTTCCACATCCTTCCCTTTATCACCTAATTATGCTTAATCCACAACCGTTTACAGATTTACGACCCATAACCCCTTTTGTCTCTTCCGTGTTTATAATTTTTGATTCACTCTCGTAATGGAAGTTGAATGAGGAAATGCACTCGTGACGGTAAAATTATAAATCCAGAGTCGTAGTTGGTTCATAGAAAAATAATTTTCTCAACGAATTTGGATAGGGTATAGGCCTACATTGCTGATAAATTGTTATTATTATTATTATTATTATTATTATTATTATTATTATAAAAAGGCCTTGACCCTCACTACACGTATTATTGTTCTGTTCATAATGTATATGCAGATGTATATGCAGATGTATATACTGTATAGGATGCTCTGCAGCTAACAATAACCAAACTATTTCGTAGAACAAGGTGCACCACAAGACAAATAATTCTGCTATCAAATATTCTTATTTATTGGTAACAAATTATGGCACATTCTCTTATGCAACATATATATCTGTATTTAAATAGTTTAACTGCGCACATGTCACTTAATTTTGTTGTTCTTAAAAAATTTGAATAATAACCAATAGTTCTAAACAAAGTGAAAAAAATTACACTACAGTTGCATCATTGTACACAAGTAAACAACATGAACTGAGCAGCTGTAAGATGAATTTCAAAAGATATCCCGTATGAATTTTAGGCGTGTGTTTCTGTAGGCCCTATCACTGAAGTTTACTTTGCCGATTATAGGCCCTACCCGTGCACAAAATCTGTATAATTTGTAGACCAATGTAGCTATATGATCACGGATGACCTTTATGGTTCAAGTCTTAAATCTATATCTGTCAAGTAAAGGTCCAGTGCAAAGCAAAATAAACAAAAGACAATTGGATGATTCTTTGCAAAGAATGAGATTAATCCAACATACAAACGCCGGCGTTTGGAAGTTAAAATGACTGGAAATGGTGTGATCGGGGCTTAGTGACATATCAACACCGTATGGTGTATATGACATAACAATTATCACCGTGATTATCATTCATATACAAAAATTCTATAAATATTTAGCGATAAATATTTAGTTAAAGCTGACAGAAGAACACCATGAAGTTTGTGTAAAGAAAATATCAATTGGTGTTTTGGTAGTGCGTCGTATCCGCTGGATTTTCAAGCACAAAGTAATAAGGTTCTTGTTGGTTGGTAGGGTTGGGTTCTCGTGCCAGACAATAATCGTCAATATCGTCTGCAACATTTGGGTCACTCGCTCTCTTACTCCGCGGAATGACGTCTGCATATTGTGGAACGTTGCTCTGAGGAGTGTCTCCATTCCAGCGCCTGTTTTGCTCATTGGCGTCATCTACCTCCTTTGCGACGGTACTGTAATACACATCGTCTGCTTTCCCTGGCGTTGTATAGTAATGATTTTCTTTGGGATCAGATTTGAAACCTGAAGGTTGTGTGTAAGTATAGTCATTGGAATTTGCGGCATAGTATTTAGGGTCATCCGCAGTGTTGTAAAATGGTTCGTCGGTACCAGCCGAATACAATGTATTGTTTCTCATTAAAACCGGCGACTGGTCGCCATTGTAAGTTGGTTTGGGAGACGTCTTTGAAGGTTCACTGTAAATATGTACTGAGCTGTCGTTGTTATTCTTCGTCGGGTTTTCTTTGATGGATTTAATGCCGTGTGGGTCCTGGTACACGTAAGGGGAATCATACTATGGAAAAGAAGAGAAAAAAAGCAATAAGTTATTTTCCAAAGTCACAAGTCCAGCAATAGGCCTAGGGGTTAAACGAATGCCGAAACACTTTTCTTTTAAAACGTACCTAAAGTAGTAATTTATCTGCTTAACGCTATAGGTATAATTCAGTTCTATGAATATAATATAATGCATCACTAATGTAAAATTTACAATACCCAATTTGTATTAGGCCTAAGATGAGCACAATTGAGCAATCTCACCTCGTTTGATGAACTCTTCCCTTTGCCTTTATTAAATAAGCTGTAAAATATGCAATGCAAATAGTTACGCCACGGCTTATCACACATGCTTCATGT